CATACACCACCACGCCTTTACAACACACTTCCTCAACTTTTCAAACAGTTATCACACAAAAGCTTTAATTCTGCATTATTGTGGCTGGAAATGAACAAAACTTCATAAGAGACGTGGCCAATCATTATACAAATACATACATTGTTATCATTAAGCCGAAATAACAATGAAGTCTTACCGCGTCTTCCTGCACTGTGTATTGTGTGTGTGTGTGTGTGTGTTTCATACAAGTCACAAAAGGTTGACGTTGCGTATTGTTATGGGTAAATTTCTCTTTGAACCTTCACATTGTCCACGCGTATATGAACGGGACGCGGATGAGAGAGTTTAACTTACGGGAATTGTGAGTTGCCAAAAAAAAAAAAAAGTACAGTACATTCGGATTTTTCTTCGTCTTATTTTCATATCCATGTTTTGATTTTCACTCAGTTCAGCAGGTATGTAGAGAGTGCAGGTATGTAGAGAGTGCAGGTATGTAGAGAGTGTAGGTATACGGACAAATGATAAGTCGATCTACCCAAAATAACCCGAGAAAGACCAAATCTATTTTCTCCAGCGCTTTCTGACAGTTCTGAGGAATTTATGTTTGATTTAGCGTTAAGGAATCTTATAAAAGCCTCGGGACGATACAACTTTTTACTTTTTATTTTCATTTATTATTTGTCTTTTATTTTATAAGGGATAAAAAAAAATAGAAAGATAATTTTGTTGTTTGTTATGATGTAATAAACCCGAGTAGGTAAAAAATTATACGCAGTTTTTAAAAGATTACAGCTGAGACGTTTGTAATGTGAGCCCTACCGTCTGAGGGGCTTATACACGAGGCGTAGAGCTTAAGTGATCATGTGAATTTGAGGAAGAAATGTTGTCTCTCTTTGACCTACACACACACAAATTACATACATACATACATACATACATACATACATACACAACATAACAATTACATCAGTAGTGTTCATTTTGGCCATGAATCTTTAAATATCCTACAACAACTTCAAATTTCACCAGTGCTTGAGTAGCTTGTGTGTGTGTGTGTGTGTGTGTGTGTGTGTGTGTGTGTTGAGGTGCAGTATTAAATTCACTCCTTAGTGTTGCATCAGTTAGATTCTGTAAAAACATATGAACATCTAGTTATATGTGTATCATGTTAACAGTATGTAGTTATCTGTGTTAATAGTATGTAGTTGTCTGTGTATTATGTTAACAGTATGTAGTTGTGTATCATGTTAACAGTATGTAGTTGTCTGTGTATTATGTTAACAGTATGTAGTTGTGTATCATGTTAACAGTATGTAGTTGTCTGTGTATCATGTTAACAAGTATGTATTTGTGTATCATGTTCAGCTGTATCTGTATATAGTTGTTGTGTGTATCATGTTAAGAATAAGTAGTTGTCTGTACATCATGTTAAAAGTATATAGTTATTTGTGTATAACGTTAAGAGTATATAGTTGTTATGTATCATGTTAACAGTATATAATTATTGGTGTATCATGTTCAAGAAACACTTTACTTCCGAGGTGATGACGACCACACTCCACGGGACCAAAGACGCGGTAATAACTGCACCTGAACGATGATTATTGATTTTAAATAACAATTCCCTTTACTATATGTGTACGATAAGATATGACAATGTGGTGTAAAGTTACGGTCGAAATACACCTGGATGCTTGGTCATATATGGCATCTCTTCGTATAGGTCAGATATGGGACTGGCTTATTGCTGGTCAACTATAGTAAATGGTGCTAATTAAGTCACCTTTTACCTGCATGACTCTCAGGTATGGTGTTCAGGTGTAGCTAAAAGTGTTAAGGGAATTCTGTCCGTGGCTGTACATTGATTCTTCTTGATGTTTGTGAACTGTTGTGGTGAGTCTGTACTGTACGTGTATTTATGTGAATACGTGACGAACATTCACGTACACCTGGGGAACATTCACGTACACCTGTCAAACATTCACGAACAATCATGTACACCTGGCAAACATTCACGAACAATCACGTACGCCTGACAAACATTTACGTACATCTGACAAACATTCACACCTGACAAACATTCACGAACAATCACGTACACCTGACAAACATTCACGAACAATCACGTACACCTGACAAACATTCCCGAACAATCACGTACACCTGACAAACATTTACGTACATCTGACAAACATTCACGTACACCTGACAAACGTTCACGAACAATTACGCACGCCTGACAAACATTCACGAACAATCACGAACACCTGACAAACATTCACGAACAATCACGTACACCTGACAAACATTCACGAATAATCACGTACACCTGACAAACATTCACGAACAATCACGTACACCTGACAAACATTCACGAACAATCACGTACACCTGACAAACATTCACGAACAATCACGTACACCTGACAAACATTCACGAACAATCACGTACGCCTGACAAACATTCACGAACAATCACGTACGCCTGACAAACATTCACGAACAATCACGTACGCCTGACAAACATTTACGTACATCTGACAAACATCACACCTGACAAACATTCACGAACAATCACGTACACCTGACAAACATTCACGAACAATCACGTACACCTGACAAACATTCACGAACAATCACGTACGCCTGACAAACATTCACGAACAATCACGTACGCCTGACAAACATTTACGTACATCTGACAAACATTCACACCTGACAAACATTCACGAACAGTCACGTACGCCTGACAAACATTCACGAACAATCACGTACACCTGACAAACATTCACGAACAATCACGTACACCTAACAAACATTCACGAACAATCACGTACACCTGACAAACATTCACGAACAATCATGTACACCTGGCAAACATTCACGAACAATCACGGACGCCTGACAAACATTTACGTACACCTGACAAACACTCACGAACAATCACGTACACCTGGTGAACATTTTAAGTGAACTTGGATCGTTTCTTCACCGTTCCACTAACCACCACTAACCGTTCCCCACCGTTCCCCAGGCTACCCTCCCGGAATCTTCAGTCATCGCCCCAACATCCTCGACACGTACACCCCCTACCAGCCTTCAGGAGGGTATGTATGTCTGCCTGTCGGTTCTTCACCTATATTACACACTATTCTCCGTGTTTCTCTCTTGACTTTTGTGATCTGTTTATGATTTTGCAGTTGCGTGTCTGTTTTGTATTTTGCAAGTGGGGTTTGCTGCTCGTTACACACCCCCACCCCCAATCCCCATCCCCCAAAAAAAAAATTATTTGGTTTCTATTTTAGTTTTCTTGTTTTTGTTTTGATGATGGTATTTTTTAATGTTTTTTTTTTCATTGAGTTTTATTTAATTTCATTCCATTCCTGATTTTAATGTGTATTTTTATGTTATTTATTTTTATATATATTCTTCTTTATTATATTTATTACACCGGTTTATTTATTTTAGTTTATTGTTTGCACTTTTTTAGGAGTCTCTGGATACGTCGCTGTTTTATGTAATTTAGTCAATCTTTTTTAAAAGCAACAATAGTTGAAGTCGGTATCATTAAAACTCTTAAGTTATTTTAAGTTTAACCCTTAAATTGAGATACAGTATCCATTACCTACGAACCAACCATTGTAGATTAGATAAATTACCGTAAGACTTGTTTAGTTATTCTCAAGTGATACTAAATTATACTTAAACTATCACAGGTACTGGGGGCATTCTGGAACATTGTCGATTCTAGTGGTACTCATGTCTAAGCTAGGAATCAGAAAATCTCATATATTTCAGAGTCCTCCCGTTAAATTCCTTGCTATTTCATTTTCTATCTTCTTTTAGCATCGTAGAAAATGACGACCATCATCGGTTTCTTTGTTTTCACCAGTAACTAATACTTTTGGTCGTCCCTATTTGCCCAGTCGTTGGCTAAATAAGGATGGCAGCATTGCTTATTCGCCCGATTAATCGACTAAATAAGGATGACACTGTTGTTCTATCAGTCGTTGATGAAGAAGACAAAAAGTTTCCTCAAACAATCTGTTAATGTAACAGGAAAGTTTGTCAAAATCGTCAAATTCCGAGACAGGAATGCTAGCCAGTTAGCTCAAACCAGGCAGACTAATATGAACTAGGTCGAAAGTTAGGCCTATATTTACTATAGTCAATCTTAAAGATTTGTGCGGCGTTAGGCCATTACCAATCCGTGCATTTGCCTATTTTCATCGGTCGAATAAGCATTAGCGCCATCCTTATTCAGCCGACGATCGGGCGAAAAGTCACAACTATATTTCGGGGTTTATTCTTGGAGTGAATCAACTTTGATATGTTTTCAGACCTCAGGACGATGGTCAGATATACGGAGGACGAGGCCGGGCTCCTAGCGGCTACTACGACTACAACCAGAGACCCGCCTGGCCAGGACCCCGACTTAACGGAGGTCAGTCAGGTGGTGATTACGTGAAATTAAATAGATTATTACTACCACACTCAACATGACTCTTAGAATAAACTTGTCCTGAATTAACAACATTGAAGAAGTGGCATATTCTCTCATACATGTGGCATATTCTCTCTTACATGTGGCATATTCTCTCATACATGTGGCATATTCTCTCATACATGTGGCATATTCTCTCATACATGTGGCATATTCTCTCATACATGTGGCATATTCTCTCATACATGTGTCATATTCTCTCATACATGTGTCATATTCTCTCATACATGTGGCATATTCTCTCATACATGTGTCATATTCTCTCATACATGTGGCTTATTCTCTCATACATGTGTCATATTCTCTCATACATGTGTCATATTCTCTCATACATGTGGCATATTCTCTCATACATGTGGCATATTCTCTCATACATGTGTCATATTCTCTCATACATGTGGCATATTCTCTCATACATGTGTCATATTCTCTCATACATGTGGCATATTCTCTCATACATGTGGCATATTCTCTCATACATGTGTATTTGTAGTTCAGCCCCGAGGCAGTCATATTATACCATGGTCTTAAACAACTGGACTTATCTCCTCTATGGTACCTACTGGCCACTACAACGTCTTATCATTGAATATTTCAGTTTATATAATACTTATGGAAGAAAGTCTAGACTGTTTACTAATTTTCACACACACACACACACACACACACACACTCCTCTCCTCTACACACACACACACACACACACCTCCTCTCCTCTACACACACACACACACACACATCTCTACACACACTTCACTCTCTTCACTTAGTTCTCTGCTCCCCCACTCCAACCCCCACCCCCCCCTGCTTTCAACCTTTCGTATGTATACTGTCTTAGACTATATGACGATGATGATGATGATGATGATGATGATGATGATGATGATGATGATGGCGATGATGATGATGATGATGATGATTGATGATTGATGATTGTATTACAGGTGAAGGTGGCGGACGAGGGGATCACTACATGGTGCCAGACCCCAATCGACTCTTCCCTTACCCTGACTACGGCCAACCACAGTCACAACAACAACCACCACCACCACCACCACCACAGCAGCAGCAGCCACAGATTCTCCCACCCTTACAACAGCCACAGATGAACACCAATGTACAGTATTGTGATTTAGTTGTGTGATTGTTGGTGTGAATTTATACCATACGACCTCAGTACCTTTAACATGACCCGGATTTATTTTTTTCAGTACCTTTAACATGACTCGGATTTTTTTTCAGTACCTTTAACATGACCCGGATTTTTTTTTCAGTACCTTTAACATGACCCGGATTTTTTTTTCAGTATATTTAACATGACCCGGATTTTTTTTTTAGTACCTTTAACATGAACCGGATTTATTTTTTCAGTACCTTTAACATAACCCGGATTTATTTTTTTCAGTACCTTTAACATGACCCGGATATTTTTTTTCAGTATCTTTAACATGACCCGGATCTATATTTTTCAGTACCTTTAACATGACCCGGATTTATTTTCAGTACCTTTAACATGACCTGGTTATATCTTACCAGTAATTTCGTTTATAAATCCCAAACAAGGTAGTAATTTACTGTAAGAAATCTTCAGAATGATTAATACTCAGTTTCTCAAAGAATCATACGATAAATTTTCCCCCTCTAAATTGAGACATAAAGGGCGTAAATATCTCAAAAGCAACCATCATATCTTGTCTCAGGTTAAGTTAGGTCATCTCTGCCACACATGATGAGTAATTTCATTATTTTACAACATAGGATCTTCTCTCACAGCCCATCTGGATGGATAAACCCAACTATTCCTTGCAACAAGCTCAACAGCAGCTGCACCAACCAATACTAGACCTGCAACAGTCACACTCGGGGATGCAGCAACAACAGATGCAACTACAACAGCTGGCTGGTCAACTGCCTGGTGGACAGTACCAACAACGACCATCACTCGAACATCAACAGAGCATCGTCAACATGCAGACCAACCTTCAGGGCACAGAGGTGAAGAATATATACAGACAGACAGACAGGAAGACGGACAGGAAGACGGACAAATAGCTATACAAACAAACATATATAGACAGACAGACAGACAGGCAGACAGACAGGAATACGGACAGGAAGACGGACAAATAGATATACAAACAAACATATATAGACAGACAGACAGACAGGCAGACAGACAGAAGACGAACATACAAACAAACAGATATACATTAATTCAGCAAATATTAAAACAATGCAGGTAATATAATCAACATAAACAACACAGGTATACAAACAATAGTAAACAGTAATAACAAGCTATTACCTGAGTGGGGAATATGCCCAGAGCCTCTTAAGCAAGGTTTGAATACCCAAGGGGGAGGGGGGGTGGTATAGGAAGGGGAATAGCAAGGGAAGGAAGGAAATGGGAGGAGGGAAGAGGTGGGAGGTATAGGGAGGGAAATGGGAGGGGGTGGGGAAGGGAAATGGGAGGGATAGGGAAAAGGAACGGGGGTATGAGGGGAAAGGGAGCAGTAGGGGAAGAGAAATGGGAGGGGGTGAGGAAGGGAAGGGAAGGGGGAAGGTCTCTGGAGGTACTGAGATGCGACATGGACACCAAAATATGATATAAATCAATCTTATTTGAAGTTTAATTAATTAGTGGTAATAACCAGTAAGGTAACCAAAGCTATAACCAACAGCCTTACTAAAGCTATAATCAACAACTTTACCAAACCTTAACCAAAGCTATAATCAGGTTGTCACTTGCAGATGGGTATGACAGGTGGAGGTCACAGCCGTCTAACAACAATTGGCGAGGGCGCACCACCACCCCCACCACCACCTCCACCAGCCTCTAAGACCAGTCCCTCCACCTCCACCCCTGTCGTCACCCCGCCTTCAGGTGAGTCTCCGTCCACACCTCACCCCTCCATCACTCCGGTTTTAGGTGAGTCTTCCCATTCCTCTTCCGTCCCTCAGCACCTTCTCTCACCATGTGCTTCCTTCTCTTACCCTCCTCTTAGAGATATCGTTCTACCACCAATATCTCATGGGCTATAGAATGTTGTTTACGAAAGGTGGTCAATAAAAAGGATGATTGGATATTTTAAACTTAAGGACAAAATTTTACGAGGGTGATGGTTCAATAAGGATGATGGATGATAGTTTAACAAAGATGATAGTTTAACAATTTACTCTTGAGGATGATGGGTTAATTAACAGCTCTCTATACACCCACGTTACACCTACTAACATTTCAAGTAAAGTCTTTACTTCTACACCCACATCAACACTCATTAATCCACCTCCCTACACTTATCCTCACCACCTCCCTACACACCCACAACCAAACTCTTCATCAGTCAAGTGTCATCTTTGTTCACGTCTCGTCTTTTATCTCGTTACGAAGTTTTCTCAAGAGCTATGTACTGATCGCTTACTTTTCAACATCACACACACCCCACCACACACCCATATCCCCCACACGTCCACTATATATAATATAAATAATGGTGCCCCTCGTGTCCGAGGGCCTCCTAGGCGTGAATTTGTTTAAGGTGTAGAGGCTGTCGCCAACACAACAATCACACCCTAAGTTAACGAGCTGCATGACCCAGTGTCAAGGAATAGTCCGAGAAGACTGGACAACTCGCCAACTGCACTGGCTAACCATTACCCCGGAACACGATCCGCAAATCGATTAACATCTAGGTCCCAAATTACTGCTGGGTAGATTCCCTGTCCGGGAATCGAACCCACGGGTCCAATCGCTCGCGATGTGAGCATGTTGACCATTACACCACAGGTCGCCACACACCCACTACCCACCCCACACACCCATACTCCCACCTCTACACACGCTCCCCTTCAGTGCCTCAGAAGCAGCAGCTGTTACTTTTCGTTCTTTATGTAATATCACCTCACAAAGACCTGTGGGATTTTACCCGTATATAGTTTCCCTTGTGAAGAGATGCTGTTATTGATAGCTGACGTTTCACTCTGTATGGATCTATAACCCAAACTTTCTATAACTTATTACAATCTACCGTCAGTGAGGCTGTCTATATAACTTTGATTTTAAGCCCGTTTATCTAAGCAGATTGTTACGTATAACTAAAATACACCACGACTCAGAAACTTTTAAAGATAATAAAAAAATACTATAAATTAAGGCATATAATATAACCCATGTTTGTTCTATAACTATCTATCATAACCTTTAAAACAACCAACGAAACATACCAACAACACACAATCTTCTCTTTAGCTAAACAACTAACAAAATAAACTACAACGAGGTAAACAATCCCAAAAATATAATGAAAACGAACGATTGATTGATTGTGGTAATTAACATACCTGGCGACGCAACACTGTAGTACATTGTTTTGGTCCTGGCTAATGGTAGTTGGTAGTTGACTTGTTTGGACACCAGCACCGGACCTCTATATCCATACCAAGAATAAATATGTGTTTGGGTAATACTACTAAATAAAAAAAAAATAAAAATAAAAATAATTAATAGGGTAGTTTGTTTTTATTATGACGGCCCTGTAATTGGTGAAATAGGTTGTTGTAGGTAATGCAGAGGTAAATACAGTCTTGGGTGTTGGAAATAGTTAAACCCGGGGATGTTAAATATTCAGGAATGATATTTGTTTATTAACGTTTATTTGGTTTAGTTAAAGACGGAAAAGGTTTATTATTATTATACAATTTGGTGAAATCTTATGCTGTTCTCTTTTTCTTTGTATTATATTATTGTTAGTATTATAGTCCATCATATTTCTTCTTATTTACTAATTTACTCTAAAAAAAAATCGGATTACCTGAAGAATCTCCACCCCAGCTTATTTCACCTAAAGATTAACCACCCGAACCTAACCTAACCACCCGAACCTAACCTAACCTAACCACCCGAACCTAACCTAACCTAACCTAACCTAACCTAACCTAACCCCATCCTCCCAAACAGTGTTAGGGTGGTTAATCTTTAGGTGAAATAAGCTGGGGTGGTGATTCTTCAGGTGATCCATTTTTCTCTCCTTATAAATCATCCCAACTCATCTTTGTTTATTATCATTTAGTAGTCATTATTTAGCTTGACCTTTGACCTCTCTTACAGGAGTGAGGAGCCACAACAACAGCAACAGTAGCGAGGTCACAGGGTCAGCGACGGGGGTCTCCCACGCCCAAACGCCCGCACACGCCGCCCAAAACCCCCTGAACAAGGTAGCTCACGCCTCCATGACACGCCTTGAGGTCAACCTTGAGGAATTGGAGATGGAGGCGATGGAACAGGACGCCCAGGCCTCAGGGGCAGTACTGGCCCTAGCCATGGGTACGTCACGGGGTATGGGTGAAGGGGGAGGAAGGTGGCTGGTGATGTGTGGTGGGGTGATGGAGAAGTGTGGTTAGTGATGGGTGATAGGGAAGGGGATTAGGTGGTTGGTGATGGGGATAGGGGGAGGTCAGTAGATGGGTAGTGGTGGAAAAAGTGTCAGCTGAATGGAAGATGCTGAGTGTTGGGGAAGAGTGTCAAGTGTTGGGGAAGTGTGTCAAGTGTTGGGGAAGTGTGTCAAGTGTTGGGGAAGTGTGTCAAGTGTTGGGGAAGTGTGTCAAGTGTTGGGGAAGTGTGTCAAGTGTTGGGGAAGAGTGTCAAGTGTTGGGGAAATGTGTCAAGTGTTGGGGAAGTGTGTCAAGTGTTGGGGAAGTGTGTCAAGTGTTGGGGAAGTGCGTCAAGTGTTGGGGAATTACCTGGCAATGTCATTCTTGTTAAATTCTTGTTAACTTGACTGTCTCCTGTGTGTGTGTGTGTGTGTGTGTGTGTGTGTGTGTGTGTGTGTGTGTGTGTGCAACAGATTCAAAACAAGTCTTATAAATCATATTAACAACACATAATGCAGTATTGATTGAGTTGCCATGGTTACATACCTGTGTGTTGTGTGTACAGGTGTGTGCATCACGGCGCTGCTGGTGGTGCTGGTCGGCTGCCGTCTCAGAGGTGTTCGTCGACGTCTACGGAAGCAGCGAGGTAGTCGTTCACCTTATTCCCACGACGCCGATTACCTCGTCAACGGCATGTATCTGTAGAAGGGGTGACACGGTGAACTCGCTGTGAAGACCTGTGTATGTGTCTAATGTAGAAGGACACGACGGAAGATACGAGAGACAAGAGGCACCAGTCAGTTAGATGTGTCCCTGAGGAAAACAAAAGTAAATAGATTCACCCTCCTTGACTACCTGCCTGACGAAGGGATGACAACACCTCCCTCTGAGAAACAACGAAGAAGATTTTTACTAAACAAGTTAAGAAATTAAATAGTTTGAATGTTATGAAGAAGGAAAACTATGAAACTGGATCTCACGAAATTGATGATAGGACGGACCATAGATTGGTCTGTGAAGGTGAGGCCTATTGTAATGACTAAGTGCCCTTATATGGGAACCTGTGTTAGGTGCCACGAGATGATTAGATAAGTTGTGAGCGTCATTTATAGGTCCACAGGTGTAGTACAGGTGAGACAGGAACAAATGGCAGGTTATATCACTATAATGTGTAAAGCATCAGTATTTACCTATGCCCTGTTTGTTATTTAAGTAAGTACAGTAATCACTAAGGAGTATTTATCAAAGCTTGAGTCATTACTGTTTACCAAAGTCACTTATTATGCATATAATTACAGTAATTATAAAGAACAAAATAATAATAATATAACATGGTGGCAATAATATAATTCGCGGTAAATTATTTTGTATATTTCCAAGTAATAAAATAATATATACCAAAAAAAAAGGCTTTTGCCATGGTTATCTGCAAGAAAATTATATACAAAAATAACCTAATAATTTATCTACATGACACAAGATATCATAACTATAGAGGTGTCACGTGTCATCGAAAAAGAATACCAAGATTTTCAATAATTATAATATTTACATCTGGGGATTCTTTTTTGATCACCCTGTAACTGGCGGGAAAGTCAGTCGCTTACACCAACGTTTTGACTTGGACGTAGCCTTAAGTTTAGTCGTTTTAGTACAAGACAACACAGAGGGAAGGAAACTGAAGTGTATAAGGTAGATTTTGTTTATTAACTCTTTATTGCAATTATTAAAAGCTAAAATACTATTGAACTAATAAAACCGCTTTAGAGAGAGAGAGAGAGAGTCAGCGAGAGAGAAAAGAGGGAGAAAGAGAAACAAATTAATGACAAATGAGGTGATTGATGGGAACTGCAAAGTCATAATAATAATAATAATAATAATAATAATAATAATAATAATCTTTCTCAGTTTCCCTCCCTCACCGTGTATCGTCACCATTAATGTGTCATTTATCAAGACTCGGTTCCTCGTGTTTCTCCTGCAGAAGGTGTAAAGCGTTTTCACCTATATTTTTTTTTCAGCCGTTGTATGTTACATGACAACCAACCACGTGTCATATTAACCACGTGTCATACCAACCACATGTTATACCAACCACGTGTCATACCAACCACGTGTCATACCAACCACGTGTCATACTAACCACGTGTCATACCAACCACGTGTCATACCAACCACGTGTTATACCAACCACGTGTCATACCAACCACGTGTTATACCAACCACGTATTATACCAACCGCGTTATACCAACCACATGTCATACCAACCACGTGTCATACCAACCACATGTCATACCAACCACGTGTCATACCAACCACGTGTCATACCAACCACGTGTCATACCAACCAGTCATATTTACATTATATTCCCGTGTGTGGTGTTGTCTTAGGTTTACACGCAAATTAGTGTTATTTCTTTCACAACCTTTATCACTCAGTCCTTCGATTAGTTATGATTTTAGTGTCCCGTTAAGTTATGATTCAGCTACAGATGTTTATAGTTGATATATTGAGATAAATGATAAATATTGAATAAATAATCTCTTTTTCACAATGACAACGGGAGAGACTAAATGATAAAAAATATACCCAATCATTCATCGCAAGAGAAATACTAAATAAGAATGATTTTTTTTTTTTTTAGTCATTAACCAAATCATTCTCCGTTCTTTTAAGCATAGTAGAATGATACACTGGTGAAGAACGATGTATTCAGTACTGAGAGATGGGATTTTTTTTTTATGATCACGTCTATAAAAAAAAACACAAGAAGGGAGTGAGGCGTAACGGTGAGTGTGGGACAAAGGGGAGAGAACTCGAGGGTGGGTATAGAGAGGGAGGTGGAGGAGAAGGTAAAAATAACAACAAAACACTCGTGGGTTGCGTGTTTAAACATCTTCAATCTATCTTGTGGATTTTCCTTCAATATTGATGGTTAAAAATAGATGTTTATATCCGCTGAAGTTATAGAAGAAGAAGAAGAAGACAAAGAGAAAATAACACGAATAATCTTTCTTGATTCTGTCTCGATGCGCAGGTCGCGTCACCTGTAGATTTAAGAAGATCAACACTAAGTACTGTAATTAACAAATATTGACACCCGCTTCTCAGCCTGCCTATACACGTGTGCCCCCCCACCCCTAAAGTGTGTGTGTGTGTGTGTGTGTGTGTGTGTGTGTGTGTGTGTGTGTGTGTGTGTGTGTGTGTGTGTGTGTGTGTGTGTGTGTGTGTGTCTGTGTGTGTATTCTGTGTGAATTAGTTAATATTGCACGAGCTGGTGTGTATTTATCAGCCTCGTGTGTGTGTGTGTGTGTGTGTGTGTGTGTGTGTGTGTGTGTGTGTGTGTGTGTGTGTGTGTGTGTGTGTGTGTGTGTCTGTGTGTGTATTCTGTGTGAGTTATTAATATTGCACAAGCTGGTGTGTATTTATCAGCCTCGTGTGTGTGTGTGTGTGTGTGTGTGTGTGTGTGTGTGAGTGTGTGTGTGTGTGTTTGTGTGTGTGTGTGTGTACCTGGATGGATGAGATACCACGCCTTGGGTCCTGGTCACTGTATAAGACATGAGAGATAAGACAGTAATATATTCCCCAGTGTCAGGCATAAAGACTTACACGCTAATATCACAGAGGAGCATCTTGCCTTATTACACGCACTCAACCTGGATGTCTGGTTACCTGGCAGAGCACACACACACATATAGCCTCTTATTGATGATAGTCTTGTATATCATTTTAAAATCCACCTGCGTTCACCTCACGTTCCCGAGCTTGTGTTAAACTTACCGTAACACTCCAGGCATTCGTCTCACCTCCGGCAACTGGCGTGAAGACAGTGAAGGATCATAGTCACTGAATACAGACAGAGATGATGTTCTTACCGTCAATGAGGAGAACGTCACAGTCATGTCTCCAGCTCCTACACACACGTTCTTTAAGAGGTAAACTATAAACAATATGACCTAATAGTTATCCTGGCTGGTAACCGAGATAATCACCAGCAACTTTATGTTTGACAAAAGTTCCGAAAATTAATTTAAAAAAGCCTCACAACTCATCATATGCAGCTCAAGGGTTGTAAATAAAGGAAAAGTTATAGGGTATATGCCTCGTCAGTATTACCTGCCTGTAACTGCCTTCACTGATAGTCAAACACAGATAATAATAAAAAAAACTTCAGTGTTATCAAAATCATCCGAGCTCTTTAGGGTGCCCAATATCCCGATCACGTTTTAAGAGTTACCGCTACAGCATAAAGACACGCTTGAGTAACTCCGATTACCCCGCGAGCTCGTCCAGCGACGAGTGACCGGCAGCTGAGACATGATTCTCTCCCGGTGAGAATTTAGTGTCGCGTCTGCACCGTACAGCTGCAGGTGCAGGTGTGTCATGTACTGTACCACAGGTGTGTGAATGATACAGGTGTTGACGACACTCACGAGGCCTTGTATGCCTGCAGGTTGTGGTGATCTGTTTCCTGATGCTTCGTGTCATAAGTACTGGAAATAATACTTATAAATATAATTTATCAAACAAGAAAAATAAAATACTTTTAATTTAAAGAATAGCATTACGATGCTACACACAAATATATATGAAGATTTATTTTGTTTTTGGGGATACATAAGTCACGTTACAGCGCAAACTATTAAACATTACTGCGCTATGACATAACAACTTTGAAAGGCTTGTGGTAGAAACTACATCTTTGAATAAGAAATAAATCTCGCTGGTAAGCAAATTTTCCGTGGGTGGTTGGGGCGATGGGGGGGAGGGGGTGTTCTTAATCTTTCATTTGACCAGATTCTTAAGGTGAAGGTCATGCCATCTTAGGTCACTGTTATGACGTCTTGGACAGGTAAAATTATCTCTGGTTTTAAAACGAAAAGTTATTAGAAATGTTTGCCTGCAGATAAGATGTATCATGGCTGAAGACAATTGTCTCATTATGTTATAACCTCCACCTGTGAGGGACTGACTGTCTACCTCCACAACTCTCAGCCTCACAGTGGTGCACCACCCTGAGGACGCAGACGGCGACAATAACGGACGCTTCCTTACAGCGTCGTCTCGTTACTGCAGGCAGATGTTACCGTTGGTTTCGTGTTCTGGACCAACATTTCTCTTGTAAGAGAGCCAGACCCTGGAGGTGGAGTAAGAGAGCCAGACCCTGGAGGTGGGGTAAGAGTCAGACCCTGGAGGTGGGGTAAGAGTCAGACCCTGGAGGAAACTTATAATAAAATTGTAACTTGACATTCAGTGCCTTGTTCACGGGGTGAGGGAGAGGGTGTGTGAGGCCCAGCCGTCTCACTCGGTGCGTCGCGGGGGAGCAAAACAATATTACTTTCCTTATATTATCTATAAGACATTGGTCGTGTGTCGCCCCAAGTCTTATATAGCGACTACAACCTGTACACCGGTCGTTCGTTATCAACATTTACACGTCTTGGCCAAATGGCTTGTTTTTGTGAGTTTACAAAGACGGGTTTTACTGCAAGGAATTATACGATTATGTTAATAAATTCTCTCGTTTCAGAATTACAAATTAGTTTAGAAAATCAACACGAACTCAGTGTTTTAGAAACTGACCTCTTAAAAGAACTGTCCACTGAGTTAGAGAAACGATCTTTCTTAACACTGTATGTATAGAACGAGAAGCAAAGGCGTCTGCCTCGTCAACATGTGGAGGTTATCACTGAGGAAGAGTTAGCTACAACTACACGATATTTACTACTGAACCAGATTTAATACGTATTTGTTAAGGCGAATATTTACAAAAATGTTAAATACATAATGTAAACGTATTCTAAAATGATACACAATGATAGAATTCTCACGTAGTTCATAATAACTCGTCATAACCACGACTAAAGAAGTTATTAAAGAAATTCTCCACAAGTATTGGTAGTTACAAGAATTGCTTATAGATTTAACTAGCGAAAGATAGGTTGTTTACTGGAGACTGTCCTGGCTGGCAGATGAATGTTGCTGGCACGTAACTTTCATAAAGAGTTCTTTCTTGCTTCACTTCTCGCCATCCAGGGGTCGAGTGAGTCTTTTTTTTTGAGGGATTTAACATTAATTATAACATTTATGGAGAAGGCATATTATACTTTACGTTAGTGTACAGGAGTCGTAGCGGAGTAAGTATGTTTTAATAAATGAGACGGAGTAAGCGTCAGGCACTCTGGTGTTTGTGTTAGTGCTGGAGGATAGGGATCATAGGTGTAAAACATTGTTGACAAGAGTTAGACTGCAAAGGTATGTTTGAGGGATACACGACTGCGGGCTCGGTTACAGAGACGTTTTTCCCACACCTGACTTACGCTGCGTAATTTTTGCGTAAATAGCGTGCACACGTATATGACACTTATTTTACCTTTACTTTATGTATGGTGTGTCTACATAAGCACACGTATGAATTAAGATACATGCACACACGCACACTCACATTATACAGATCAAAACTTCAAGAATTTCAGTGCCTCAGTGGTTTTCCTTATAATGACTTTGCATCAAGCATGGTAAGAGTAATTGTACACCTCATATGGATACCCCCACATACACTTTGGATGTATGAATGTTTATCATCTATAACCGTAGAGAGTTAAGGAAACCTTAAGTTACTGTCATCAGACTGTCAGTACGCTTTCCCACGCTCAGGCGTGACGCAGCTGTGTTGGCTAGCTAGGGTAGACCAAGTACTGTACATTACCGTATGTTTGCCACCAACTGTCTGTTAATCTCGGTTGCATCTTCCCTGCGCGTTGTTATACCGTGGATCAGCTAACGCACTGGATTAGAAAACTTCACTGTTACCAACGGGTTAATAAAGCTTATCCTCCCATGCTGTAACAAGAGATAACAGTCGTTACAGGCTACTGTGAGGAACACTATGACTCTAACATGAAGTTTTCTGCCACTCCAGGCGGCGTGTAACTCATACACCGCCACCGTAACTCCGCGTGTTATTGTTGTCACGACCCGCGCTGTCCAACCTCAGACCATCACTATTTCTTTGTTGACGTGCGTAGGTAAGTTGTGTTATTATAGTGAGGTAGCTGCAACCCCCCCCCCCCTCCTGAGGCGCTGGCTGGCCTCAGACTGGTGCAACTATCAATAACTGTCTATGTATGTGATTTACATTTTTGTAAGCTGAGCGACATTACCCATTGTGACATTATTTTGGTTGGCACTGAGTAGTATTGGTGAAGATGGTGCATGTGGTGGTCCTGTGGTGGAGGTGACCCAGGGTGTGTGAGTCCCCGTCCACCACCGCTCCTACCTCCTCCTCCTCTTATCCCTGTAGTGTAGGAGGTGGAGCAGGTGGGTGGGTGTGTGTCTGCCAGCTACCACTCCCTCTACTGCCGCTGCTGTTGTTTATAAAAGTTTTGCTTGTTTTACTGTCGACTGAGAGAGCTCTAGAGTGCTGTGGACTCCCCTGGCTATAGTTAGTCCGGTTATGACGGCTAATGTAAATATGTTAAATAATAATAAATTATGGACAATGTGATAATGTTTTACCTTAACCTAATTTACATAATTTTCTAAGACATGTCAATAGAGTATATACATAGACAGTAAATTACCTTTGGTCTTCAACCAGAGACCCACGGGTGTTGTCTTAATGTTGTATTGTGATTGGTCGG